AATCCAATCCAATCCAATCCAATCCAATCCAATCCAATCCAATCCAACCCAAGCCAAGCCAAGCCAATCCAATCCAATCCAATCCAATCCAATCCAATCCAATCCATCCATCCATCCATCCATCCATCCATCCAATCCATCCATCCATCCATCTGACCTGACATGACCTGATCTGATCTGATCTGATCTGATCTACTGTAATCTAATCTAATCTAATCTAATCAATCAATCATAGCATGTATTATATATATATACACCATATATATATATACACATACATAATAATATAGAATTAACACATTCTGTTTTTGCCGAAACAGGCTTGAGGGCGGCTCGTCCACCCTTGCACTCCTCCAGGCTTGTGGAGTTCTCAAGCTATACGGTGAAGAGAGATCCCAAGACCGGGACGCTTGGCCGGGACCGGCCCCGTCCGGGGAGCTCTGGGCAGTCTTGGGGGGCTGTGAAGATGAGGACCTCTTAGAGAAGACGAGACGTCTTGTTACCAGTAGTAAGAATGAGTCATGCCAGGAGCCCCTAATAGCATCCTTGCTCCTAGTAGCGATGCCCTTTGCTCCTTGTAGCTTCTTGTTACTAGTCGTGCAAAGGACCTGCGATCGAATGACTTCACGATCTTGGCGACTGCTCCCAATTGCTGACCGCAGGACGAGATGAAGCCGCTCATGGGCAGTGTGATGCCAAGTTGACGGCAGTGTCCCAACCTTTGTTTATTTGAGCCAAGGCAGCTTCCCTGAATTGAATGGTACATTGATTGCGGCTTACGTGGATGACCGACAAATCCCATCATCAATTTGTCCTTCCGAGTCACCCACAAGAAACAAACCCTGCTTGTGAACTGATCGAGTTTTGAGTGAATATGTGAGTATAGCCTATACCCTCCTTAGAAGATGTTTTAAGTCTCAAAGAGTTCAAAAAGAATTCGAACTTTGTTCTCGGAAGAGTTCCGGGCCAAGTGGTACATTTTGCCGACTCGAGAAATCGACTCGACCGGCCAAGGCACCTTGGGCCCCTTGCCTGAGAAGAATTCACGCCTGAAGCGACGGAAGGAGTTGGAGCCCCGGGATTACAGCAGATCATTAGATACTGTAATGTGAAGGAATCTGAAAAAAGAGGGAGGTTAATTGAGATGTCATATAATTCAAACAGAAGGGTGGGGTTCAGAACGGTTTTTCTTTCTACAAAGGCTGACGGTTCTTTCTTTCAACCCAGTGATGTACGGATCTCACGACAGGCCATCGCAAATATAGTTCAGTTTCCCTAAAAAATCTAGGAACTAAATCATTAGTGCGAGCGCTTCCTTCAAGAAGCATCAGCTATCCTGCGTCCCAGGTAGTAGCGTTCTTGTAGCTACTAGCTACCTCTCCCTTAATTAAGTAGGCACCTACTAATTAAGTAGCGAGGGGAGGCTCGGACACTGACGACCTGACCTTTTCCACCTGCTCAGTGGGGGCAAGCGCCGCGCAAAGAAGGGCGAGGCACGGATCTGTGGGCGGAACAGGCATATTGGTCACGGATGCTACAGGGCTGAGCCGCTAGTAGCGTCCTTGCTCCTAGTAGCGATGCCACGAGCCCCTAGTAGTTTCTAAAGGGCTGCACAGGTGTACAGGTAGAGTAGAGCTTCAGCAAGAAAGAGTCCTGGAGATATTTTTTGGCTTGTCCACCGGCTTGAGGGTGGATGGTGCAGGCTTTATTTTGTTAGCCTGAAAAGCTTGTGCAGGATCAGTCATGAGTCATTATTGTTGCTCTCAACAACTGGGCATTCCCAACATTTCAGCAAGCTCCAAGGGTGTCTTCAACGCACTTGATCAGAGCAGTACTGGAAGAGAAAGTCAGGTTCGAGACTCCAGACGGCCATTGCTGTCCAGGATCCTATAGCGGCCTTAATGTGGACAAATGTGAGCTAAAAGAGCTCACACACTGGTTGATTCAACAAAGGGCACTCGGCCTCAACCAAGAACAGCTTCTGGCGCAGGCAGGTCCGGAGTTCACGGATGGCTTTTCGAAGCTACAACACGGACAGCCGCCCATCATAGAGACTATGGCCCCTTGGTGGCACCCATGGTGCATGAGTGATGCTCTTTGCTCATTGTTCCTTTGTGCGTTCTCGCATCCAAGGTCTTGGTTCCTGGCGTCCAAGTAGAGCAATTGGGAAAAGTGAAGGCTGATGGTGGTGGGGTGTTCCATGCTTTTAAAATCAGATCCTAAACGAGTGAATTCTGACAGACTTTGGACATTCTGACTTGAAAGGGCTAGCTTTGCTGAACAGCAGCGACTCAGCTTCAGCCCTGCAGTCTGGCCCGGAGCCGGACTCCCGCTTCATGTCGCGGAAGGAGTATGTGCAGCTGGCTGAGGCAGAGGCGTGAGTGGACCATGGCGAAGCAATCCGAAGCAACGAAAGATCTAGCAAAGTCAACAAAAGTTTTGGTGTTTGGCAGATTTCTTGGAGCATTCCTGCAAGTAGATTTGCTTCATGGAGTGGTCTCAATCGGCACCACGGACCTTTGAGAGATAGCCATTTCATCAGGAGAATGATTCCTTTGCTCGTGCATGGGCGCGGGCGAGTCTGAATTGCTCGGGGCTGAGTTCTAGGCGGCTTTCAAACATGATGACACGTTCAGTGTCAGAAGTTATGGACCTTTCAAATACTATTTACAGCAATTCAGCATCTGCGGTACCATCCCAACCCTTTTCCTATTCGAACGATTGATGCTGGCGATAATCGGCGGCGTTATTTGCCGTGATTTGGCACACTCAGGACAGACAAACATAGCTTCTTGTTACTAGTAGCGATGGCCTCCACCCTACTAGCGATGGCCTAGACCTAGTAGCTTCTAGCTACTAGCATCATGACATTGCCAGTCTTGCCAGTTGGACCCGCAGATTTGGGCCCCTTCAGTGCTTCAGGTCACCGACATATCGGTTCTCCCAGCAAGTCTTGAACTCGGCCAGCCTGGACAGCCTGGCACCCTGGGACAGCCTGTTTGATTATAGAAACTGAGAAAAGTCCTCAAAGGTGTCGAATCAAATACACATCTGCCAGGCTGCTAGGTCATCAAGCTTTGACTAAGGTGTTTGAACATAATTTCTAAGATCATTCATGTTCAAGAGACATAGTAAGTTTATGTAAGTTTTTGTTGCATACGGTCTTTTTGGTTAGGAAATCACACCTTGCTTGGCCCTGGACTTTGCCCGATCTGATGACCAAGTCTGAGGAAGAACGAAGAAGAGTGCCACCTGAAACAGGCGCAGAGGAGGACTCCCTGCCGCATGCCTTTGGAACCTGCAAGGTGTTTGAACACAACGTTTGGATTAACCTAGTGGCTATGGATCCTACAGCGAGTTACAACGGCCTCATGGGCCTTGAGGCTTCAAGAAAAAAAAGATTGCAAGTTCCAAGCATTTAGCACACTTGGTGCTTTTTTGAACTTTTGGCGTCTCCTCTTCTCTTGCTGCCCGCTGTGTCTCAGTGCGCTCAATTGCGCAAGGGCACTCGCCGCTTGTGAACTGTCTCACATTAATCAAGTTGCTAGATGCGTGTACTGTCAAAATTCGATGTGTTGCAAGATAAGACAAGGACATTGGGTTCATCAACCAGTTGCAGCAGGAATTGAGTCTTTATGGATTAACAAGGCGTTTGTTCTAGAATTAGCAACACCAATCTTGTTATTGTTTAGTGGAATGAGTAGTTCTAGGAGGAGCCTCCAATGTAGTGTAATATTCTCCACATTGATGGAACCATAGAGTAGATTCTAAGATACCAAGAAATGTGTTTTCAGTGCTGGTCTTTGGTTGCCTTTAAAACGCTAAGGACAGAGCCCTGAAGACCTGAAGTGATACGAACACCTGAATCATTTATGTTTATATAGAGAGAAATTGTTAAGAGAAGTACCTGGGATAGATGGCAAATGGCAGGTGCTGCAGGCGCTACGAATCACGAGCTACACTTTTATGCCTTCAGTTGTGCATGAAAGGTAAGGCAATATAATCTTTTATCTTATTATACTTATGATCATTTCCTTCTTTTGAGCAGTTGATGGAAGAGATCAGCTATAAACATCCCTCCGTTTCGCCTCCCAAACCTTTTTGGAGGCTGGAATCTCAGGCTAAAGCAAGGATTTGAGATTTTTCAACGATAAAGAAGCAAAGATTTGTCAGGCCGAGCACTTGTTTCGGAGATGTGTACGGAGCAAACTAGGGAACCATTAGGTCATTAGGTGAGCTCCAATTCCTGAGCACCATCGCCGCTTCCTTTTGGCTTCAGAATCTTCACCCGCAAAAAAACGCGAAAGTAGCGAATCTCGGATTAAGATGGAACACCCAACGATCAGACCGATTATTTGGATGCCTCGATGAGGCCAAAGAGTGAGGGTGTTTCTGGTGAACCAACCTGCTTTAGATTGGGGATGCCTCGCACTTTACGGTGATAGTGTCGCACAGTAGGGCCTTGAATTGTGAGGCAGAATAAATGTGGATTTGAAACCAATGTGTACTCAGGCTGAAGACAGTCGAAAGAAGGACACATGACATAAAGCACTTCTTGTTTCAAGGTCCAATGACCAGTCTTTTGGATTGGATCGTACTTGCTTCATTTATTTGTGGTGCCTGGAGCTACTTTTCTTTTGAGCTCCCAAGATGTCATGTCACGTATACTGTATATAGTGGCTTCGAACGTTTAGAGTTGTTTCAACTTCTCCTATCCAAGTCGCGCTCCGAGGTGAGGCACCAGCCACCCATGGAGGTGCCGATAGTTTGCAGAGTTGATCTTGGAAGGTCAAACATCGAGCGCTACTCTGAGGGACAGATGTCAACTTTTAAACATCTTGAGGGACAGTCTGATTGAGGTAGAAACAAATAGCTACTAGGAACAAGTGCATCGCTACTAGGAGCAAGTGCCTTACTAGTAGTAACAATGCTTGCTATTAGGAACAAATACCTTAGCCGGAAGTCTTGTTTCAGCTTCCTAAAGAGAAAGTGATCCCATCCAACCGCCGATCCCCTGAGAATCGCGGTCTGATGAGATCACGCTTGGGGACGGATTGCTTGAGCCACGAGGGCTGCCTTGTGCAGGTTCCTGAATTGATTTTTTGGCAAGCTGGGATACACCCGAAAGATGCAATCTTGAGAGACATTCACCTCACCCTCCAAGGCAAGCAAACATGCACTTGGATCAAGCACATCCACCACAAAGTTTAACACTCTACAATGCTAGTTCTACTCGCCCGTTGATGGCTCTGCATGATTTGGGGGTTACAAATAGCACTAGACCAATTGTGACCAAAGCTGACCACAGGACATCATAAAAAGAAATATCATGCAGCCGGATTAATGAAACAAATCCAGATTTGTGCGTCTAAAATCGAGAGCTTCGAGTGTGTTCACAAACATATCTTCAGGCAGCAAATGACTTCACCTCGGTGGTGAAGGCCGAGCTCATTTTGGGGCTTTCGGGGTTGACTTTGCAGCCTGGAGGTTGAGCCACAAGGAAACTGGGACACTCCAAAGCTCATATTGGACACCTTTTGAATGGAGGTGGAACATCGCGTGAGGAGCCCCTAGTAGCTCATTGTTACTAGTAGTATGGCTAGGAGCTACTAGTAGCTTCTTGCTCCGTTCGTAGCGATGCCAGGAGCCCCGTTCGTAGCGAACCTTGTCACTAGTAGCTTCTTGTGACATGAGAATTTCATTGATCTTATTTCACAAGTCTCAAAGGTTACGAATGTCAGTCCCCAACCTCCCACTGAGAGCAATCCTTTCTTCCGGGGACCCCTCCCAGGGCTCACACGAAGCCGCAGCTGCAGTTTCTTGGCAAAGGGGGCTTGGGCAATTGTTTTCTTGGGGTTGACAAAGGGACTTCCAAGTGCCTAGCAAACCCAAATCGCCCGTTTGTTCTTTCAATAGAAGCCAGCTGTGATGCAACACTTGGAATCATGAGGCCTTTATTTGCCACTGGTGTGTAAGATGGCTCACATATGTACTCACTGAGCCACAATCAAGAAGATACCTTTGCTGCATCCATAGTGTTTTGGATATTTTCCCAGATGAACACTTTTGAACCATACATATAAACAAAAACATACATAGAGTTAAATAGGTATATATATAGTATATATATATATATAGAGTCTTTATATAGTCGATCAATAACGTAGTGGTAGTGAGCCAAAAATTCAGCAACTTGCAGTTTTATGCAGCTTTTGGTAGAAGAGTCGCATTATGATCCACCCAATTTATGGGACCTCTCAGTCGCGGATTCATACCGCCGGTCCGTTGCCGCAGGTGCACCAGAGCCTCAAACCTTTTTGCACTGAAAAAGCGCTGCGGTGCGTTTGCTGAGTTGCTAGCGGAGCGCCAAAGTGGGCCTCCGCGGGGTTCACGAACCCCATTCTGTGCCGTGATCCATGGCCTTCGCTCCAGCCGCTTCTGGATGGCCGACTGATGACCATGGGGCTCCTGAGGACTCACCGATCTTTGAAGCCTATCCTCGCTTGCTGAGAAGGTCACCGTTGAGGCCATGAACTTCCGCTTCACATGGGCTTGATGACGATGCCTCCGATGACTTGGAGTCAAAATCGCAAGGCTATGACTTCAGGGGCATGCCACACTTGTGAACGCGATGCATGTCCAGTTCAAAACACAGGTGATCTTTTTGAGAGAGCCTCTGCTCGAGGTATCTTGTGCACTCTTGAGAGTCCTTCACCTTCACGCTCCTATTTTTGGCTAACCGACTGGTATGCGCGCTTGGGGAAGAAGCTAACACTCTATCTTGCCGACTTGCAAGCCTGTATATGTTCGGAGGCACACGTCCTAAAAATCCGCGCATTGGCTGATCAAAGTCATGAACATGAGCCTTGGCGTTTCGCTACCAATCCTGAGGGCAATCGTGTTTGGGCTATACCAAGCACTTATGCACTGCCTTAGTTCAGTGCGTTCTATTCATTGCATACCTGCGGAGTGTGGCGTCCACCTGCCGCCTCTATCCTTGGCCGATAGTCATGAAACATCCCTTGCCCCAATAGCCAGTGCCCATGCTGGCACTCACTCACGAAGCTGTTTAAAGTGCAAGTTCTTGCTCTGGAGGGCCAACCGGCCACTATTTTGTCCTACGCTCGTTTCCTCCACTCCATGCCTCTTCTCAAGGAGGTGTGGCCGAGGCATGTGATGAGATTGAGAAACCAACAAGCCATGTTTCGCAGAGCGAGAGGACCAAGGTGAATGTAAGGGTGATTTCGGTGTTGTCTTCGGGTTGCTTTGGGAGATCGAACAATTCATCAGAAAAGCTTGTGAAGTTGGACATCCGTCCATGCATGAGCTTGCAACGAGCTTTCAACCGCAGTGGAAAACAAACAGAACTCAATCCCGAACAGTTGGCATATTATAAGATTGCTTGGTGTAGAAAGTGGCTCAGAAGAGCATCCGAACAATCTATATAATCTCGAGCTTGAAGACGCTGCCAGACGCGATCCGCATGTGCGCCTCAACGCGGTTAGTTGGAAGAGTTTGCTCTTGACTGAAGAGATTCTGAAACAAGTAGGTCTTCCTGACACAGAAGTGATTGACATAGTACGGAGTGGTTAGAGGTTCTAGCTGCGCCTGTGTTCAATGCTCAGTACAAGCCTTGCGCGATGGCTGTCGGCCAATTTGTACATGGATCCTGTCGAAGGAACCAAGCAGTTACTGCGATTGTAGGCATGACTGCCTCACAGTCATCTGAACTTGAATGTGCAGGAGATAAAATGAGGCTGTCCTTCCGCCTCAAAGACCTTGAAGATGGCGCAGTAATCTCGCGCAGATTTCCCCTCTGCCAGGGCTCGAAGATTGGGCTGGTAGGTGAGTGGAATCAATGATTGCGCCTCCAGTCGCAATAAAACTGACCTGACCTACTACGCATGATTGACATTATTGGCTCGGTGATTCGTGAGTTTTCATGAGGTGCCAACTAAATGGACTTGACTCCACCTTGTTAGCAAAATAAGACGTACGATCTAAAGAGTGCTTACCGCCAAGTGCTGATCCGTAAGGAACATCAATTTTGCCTTTTTCTGCGTGTTCAATTGCCATGGTGTACAAAGAATGAAGACTTTAGTACTGGGAGCTGCCCACAGTGTGTATAGTTTATTTCGTTTGGCAAGAGCTCTGGCTCTACACAGCGTTGCTGTCAAAGGGTTGTTCTTGTCAAACACCAGTTTCTACGCTGACTTCATATAGGTTTCGGGCCAGCGTACGTGCGAATCAGCAAGCAATGCTATATGTAACTTGAATTCATGCTGGGAATTCGCCCGAGAAGGGAAGAAGTGCAC